GGTGACACCTATCTCGTGATCCAGAAACGATACAGTTCTGCTGCCTGCCTGTAGATGTCTAGAGAGCAAGAGCACCCGACTATCCGACTGATGCAAACAACCGAAACTTGGAAGTCCACGCGACTCCAAGTTGCCCATCACTATCCGCTCCTCGGTGGTACTATGGTGACCCTGAGACTTCTCGGGTCCGTACCAGCCGCCATTCAGTTGGATTATTCCACGAGTTTCATCGTATTCCTTGATAACCTTCGAAGTCACTGTCACTCAGGAACAGTCACTGTTTGAACTCCTGGTGGCCCTCAATACAAGCAGGACCACCCTCTGAAGTGGGTAAGGGTAATTTACCTGCGTCTATTCGGCAATTTAAAATAACAAAAGACCTTCAAGTTACGCTGTCGCTCCTCCAATAAAACCTCGTAGAAGGTCGAGGGGGTCGTTTATCACAGAGAAAAACTGGGGAATTGTATTTCAGACCCTTCCTGTCGAAACTTCTTAGTTTAAATTGCTAATTTAACACTTTGTGCCCTGGCAATTTGAATGTGCTATGAGCGCAGGACGTCATATGAAGGTTGTGGGGCTCAAATAGTTAATAGTGTTTTTCACTATTAACAGCCAAATTATCGGTTGAAGCTCGGAGGACTTGTTTCGCAAAGTCGTTTGGTGGATATGACCTATTGGCACTGACCGAGCTAAAGGTCCCTCTTCGAATCTCATGGCTTCTAGACACCACACTTGGCTGTATTGGCGGCGTTGTATTGAGCACAGCATTTCAGATTTCAAGAATGGAATTTGTGATCTTCAAATGTGACCAGCATCAAATGGGAAAGAACAGGGTACATTGGTATTCCATCGATAAGTGCTCTGTGACCCCGAGTAGATAGAATGGACTTCGTAAACTGCCATTTGAATCTCACGATCATGCTCCCGACAAAGGAGAAATCGTGAGAAGGACCGTCTGCAGTCAAGCGAAGGTGGCCACCAAGAGAGTCACACCTGCTGTCGCCATTACGTAAATTACATAAATAATAATTACATAATACATTACGTAAATTACAAATTACGCCATTACGTAGTGGGGTTTAATGTCGACACGCCCCGGAGTTAGACTGGACCTAAATTGCAATGTGGAATGTTCTTTATTGATGCAGTGAATAGGTGATGGAAGATCCTTTAACATTTCCCTATAAATAGATTCTTTTCCAGATCGATTGATGGAAGTCGCAAATGCTATGACATACTATATATACTATATATATATACTGACGCTGCTGCACTTAGTTGAGTCTGGTGTCCAGAAGCCATCAGTATGGGATTTTCACTCTCCAAAACGGTTCAAACAAGCTCAACTTGTTTTCATTCTGCAGCAGTTTCTACGGAACAGCTATTCAGTGAACAGGTTTTATCTGCGTTGTGATATTAAGCTTATGTTGAACACCCTCAACCCATGTATAACGAAAGAAAATTAGATCTGAGTACTTCATACAGGTGAAAGATGTTTGCTTGAGTTCCGCCGTTGAAATGCACCGCAAGAAGTTAACATATCCTAGGTTGACTAAAGTGGCCATCCTAGCTCAAGAATAGGTAGTGCAACATATGGGATATAAGCGAGAGACACCTAGTCAAGATTCATCAGTCATTGGTGTTTCTTTTCCCTTGGCTCACTCTGTATTCTAATTTCACTGCAGATTTATGTCTTATCCATATATCTAGTCATGCATGAACTTGAAGTTGAAGCTCATGAACATTATCACCCCTGCCATCTAATACCAATATTGAGCAAAAGTGCTATTTAATGAATAACAATTACATCCAGCATTGAAAACGAGGAAATGACCTTTAATAAGCACTGCAATCAGTATAATTCCTCATACGAACATTGTCAAACAAGGACATATAACACAGAGATTCATCCACGTCACAGATTCTGCTTCTATTGGGCAAGATTCATGGGTCACTGGAGCCATCCCATAATATATGAAACAACTTAGAATATTATTTTCTGATGAAAGGGCTTCTAATGGTGCCCATGCATGCCATGCTTACACAAAATAAGTATGATTTTGGATAAGCTGATTGTCTGAAGGTCATGGAAGGTATACAAAAAAGGGAGACAAAATCATGCAATCACAAAAAGAGATCCCCCAACTGAATTTCAAAAGCATCACAATTTTGTGCTGCACTGGAAAAAATCAAAATCAGACTCTACGATATTTCATCTTCAAGGTGTGAGCATAAGAACAGATTTGGGGAAGAAAGATGGGATACATTGAAAACCTTTCTTTGGTCCTTCTCTATTGTATCATATTGAACTTCGGCTTTGTGCATTGTGAGTATTACTAAACCGGCCATGCCAGGAATGTGCTCAACAGAAAGAATCACAAGATCGAAATTGCTTAAATCATTTCCACAATACTGTACTAACATGTTCAAACATAACTTACAGCACACAAGAAACTTTACAGCTTCCAGGAAAAAAATTCTATCTCATGGGCACTATTGTTCGTTTTTATCAAACTTATCTATCCAGTATAAAAAACTGGATATTTCTTTCTCACACTCTTGGAAGCACTGATATACATTACTGTCCTTCAGCATTCTTTCCAGTCTTCAGCAAATATATAATTTACATGATTTGCATCAGATATTACCGTCTTGATATTGATAAAGCAGCTATCACCATGAAAAAAAGTCCCACAAATCTAAAAAGATTCGCAAAATAAGCGCAAGGACCTACAAACAAGTTTTTCTAAGGCACGGTATACTGGAATGGCACTTTTGTGCAGATGGACAGAAAGTACATCAGATCTTCAGTAAGATTCAGTCTTCACAGATGAAGTTTTTGGACTAATGCGGAGATTAGTCAGCTGGAGCCATCGTTCGACTTTCTCATCTGAAGGGAGCTGCAACAAGGAAAAAGAGGAAAATGGCTTGAGTTCAGGTTTTTCCTCTTCAATTTCTTTGGAGACTACACATGCAATGACAAAAAGGAGAAATAGTTACTATACATGCTATTTTTTCTTCACAACCAAGAAACAACAATCACTACCATCTACATTACTGGTTTGAATATTTTTAATGGAAAAAATGGGAAAAAGCTGCAGCCATACTAGAAAGAAGCTCATTTTTACATCTTCTTTTTACATATATTTGTTATTATTTCATCTGACACCTATAATTTCCTACATTATTTGTATTCTACATTAGTTTTCAAAACATGAGTCATATTCTCTTGCGAGTTGGTATGTAAATCCATTTCACCCCCATCTCAGAGGAGGATGCCACATAGGTTTTAAGAAATGATGTATTCGCAATACCATGTATAAGATTTTCTAAAAAATTCATTTTATACTAATTTTATCAATAGTAACAACTTCATAGCACTATAGATGTTATTTTACTATGCTAGTGCAAGTCAATGACAGTTTTAAACTAATGCATTGGTTCAAGAAAATATGAATTGTTTTCTGGCAAATTCAGCTCTACTGATTCAACCATTATGCACTATACATATTTCTGGGTTTTTATATTTGGAATGTAAGTTTTTGATGCTTTTGCAGGATATGATGAGCTTTTGACTAATAATATGCAGCTGATAGATGCAGGAAACACTGTAGGCACAAATTCCAAAAATCAACGTGGAAGGTAAGATGTGATTGCAAAAAATTTCCAAAAAAAAAAATTATGAGCAAAAAAATTTCCAAAAAGACTAGCTCTTTCTTTTTTACAGTAGAATTATTTTGCTTTTAGGATAATTGAAAAGCTTTAGCTTCTTTGTCCAGTGACCTACCAGTGGCACCCACCCAATATAAAAGTGGTATTGGTGACAATACCTTCTCTTTCCCCTGGAATAGTCTTAAAGTATTTTAAAACATGATTCCTTTCTAACATGCAGAACTTCATCTAGAAGATTCATTCTGCCAATTTCCCAATTCTTTTTGTTTGAAAAATGTACCCACTGATAAGCTCTTTAAAGGTCATGCCTTGCACCTAATTAATTGATCCCAATCCAAAATACTTCATTTCTTCAGTAACATCACATGCCTCCTACCCCAAATGGTATTGCAGCCTCAGACCAGATCCCCACTCCCCAATTTGTGCCACAGAGTAGATGTCCCTTGTCAATATTTTCTCAATAGTTTATTTTTGTAACCATGTAACAAGCACAGCATCAATGAAGCAACACAACCTGGGCAGGGAGCTGCAAGGACGAGTTGGGAAAATCTCCCAGACATGCTCTCTCTCAAGGCAAACATTAACCCTCTAACAAGGACACCCATCATATGACATTATGGCAGTTGTGCAAACCACCCACCTCTCCTGGATGTGTAGAGGAAAGTATATCCCCATTAAAGGGTTACAAGCACAATAGGGAATATCCATTCAAGATGCAACAACCAAAGCAAGAAGTGAACATGCACAGCAGTGGAATACCTCACCTGTCTTTTAGCCTTTTCATCATGCAACTGTTTGATGAAAAGAAGATCTTTAGCCCAACCAAAAACCCTTTGAAGTAGGTCAGAAATCATCAAATAGCAAAAAATCAAGGGAAGTCAGTGAAAGAAGAAAAGCAAGAAACAATATATTGTATCTTTGGCTACAACTAAACCATGGGTATCCCTGGAAGGGAACCTACTGCATGTGAACAGCAGTAATCATGGAAAGGATGCAATATTCACCATTCTATTGCATAGCATCATAGACCCTCCACAAAAGAGAAAGAAAATGTAAACAATATTTAAGCTGTAGCCATAGGATTCTGTTGATATTATAGTAAGTGGAAGGTTCCTGGGAAATTAAAGGGTTTTAATGGAAAATTTATCTGCTTTGGATTGAAAACATTTTTTCTTAGGACTCATTCAAGTTTAAGAAGATTCCATTAATTTCTGATATCCATAGTCTAAGTATTGTGCATGAGAAAGAAGACAAATATTTCTCTCATTAATAAAAAAAGCCATGCCAATGTGAAGTAAGCAGGGTGTCTTTCATTAATATTTTTGGACCATATTAGGTATTTCATGATATTTTGTGAAGATTTTGGAATTTTCATTTCATCATAAAAGCAATAACATTTCTGACCTGTAAAGTTCCTTTAATCAAAATGAGCATAAAGGGAATTCTCATTGCACCGGTACAAAATACCTGTTTGAAAATGGATCTGACATAGTTGAATTCCTGCTTCTTGACCTATGCTCCACCCATTAGGAATGAATGCATCAGCCAATCCTGGTAGGAGTTACTGGTAAGGGATTTTGGGACAGTGAAGCTGATAGACTGATCAGTTGGTCGTATGCCTTCCCCAGCCACTCCTGGAAATGCAGCCCATGCTTCCATCACGTCTGTGGGAAGGGACTCTTTCACTGCACGATCGGAGAATTGGGCCTGGGTTAGCCCCCTGCCCTGTGGCACCAACTTGGACAGGCCCAAGTCTTAAATTTGCCAATTCCTGTAGCAACAGTTCCCTTGGATTGATAGTGCTGTGCTGACTGGCATCTAACGAGGAAGACCCTTTCCCTCCAGAACTGAGGGAGGTGCTACTTGTTGTTGTTCCTGACATATGATTCCCTGAGTCTACACCACGCCGTCCGCCTGCCATCCCATCACCAGTAGATGAGGGTAAGAAAATGCGGGGTTTGCCTTCAGCCAAGGGATAGATTAGTCCTGAAGACCCATCACCAGGTTTCTCAAGAGAGGCACGAAGCAAGGAATTGAAAGAGGGAGAAGAATAAATAGGAGGTGCAGCTGGAGTGCCAGGAGAACCAGTAGCCCAGGGGGTACCAGGAGCCAAGAATAGTCCTAGTTGGTGCTGCTGGTGCAGTTGTTGCTGCTGTTGTAAAAGCAGGAGATGCTGAAGGGATACCTGCTGGGGTTGGGATTGTTGAGTACTAGTCCCAAAGGAAGCTGAGAAACCTTCACTGCTCAGCCCCAAGCTGCTGCTCCCAGGAGTCTGGGCTTCCAGCAAAACTTGCATCTAAAATCATAAAAGTTGTGATCAAATTCAAAAGTATAAGAACATCATTATCATTGATATGAGCATTGGAAGAAGAGCATCATTTTATAATAATAATTTTAAAAATTGCTATAGTCAATGGAAAAGACAGGTATTTGCATAAAACAGGAGGGAGATTACCTGCTTGCATCCTATGGGAATGTCGCAGACTGTTAAGAAATGATGAAGAGACTGACATTTTATAAAGAGCTCGAATTCAATCAGAGTGGTTCTTCAATATGGTTGCTACAACTAGGGAATCTAGGGATTAATGTCATAAACCATTTTGAGGTAGTTATTTCTCCTTGCCAATAGGGAAATTTATCAGGTAATAGGTAAAATATGTGGGCATGTGAAAAACTTGAGTCATCTACAAGTTGTCCACAAGTTTTCTGGAAAAATATCAGGAAAAAAAGGACTTTCTGAGGACATTATTGAACTGGAAGTGTCCATCAGCATTGCAAGGAACTTTTGGTTTTGAGGTCCCTTCCCTTGGTTAATGCATTTCTATGGTAACATTGGTAGTGGTAACTGCAGTATACTGTATATAAGAATCCATGAAAGTGAGAAGATTGTAACTACAGTATCATACATAGATGAAAAAAATTCACTACATTTTACCAGCACCCACCTAACTATTGACTATACCCCTAATGAATTGGTTACACCCCTCAAACTAAGTAGCAACACAACTCTAGCTGTTACCTTACCTTAACACCATCAACCTTGATATTTATAACTGATTTACATTCCTTCAAGTATACTTGAAGTGACTTATAATAACCATAATATGAAATTTGGTTATTCTGATTATAATTATTAAATTCAATTATTAACCCTTTCAGTGCTATTGTCGGATATATCCAGTTTGAAACACCCACCAATTTTATATTTATTTTGAAGATTGCTTGACACTTTCAGAGGAAACAAGGCACTCATAACATCTCTTGAAGGGTGCATTGCAGGTAACAAATATTTTTTATTTGCATGTCAGTTAACATTCAGAATATAAAACAGAAAAAAATGCTCAAATGACTCAGCACAGAGTAGTGGGCATTGGAAAAACAACAACATTGAAAGGGTTAAAAAGTAAAACATAAATACCTAAATCTACTTGATGCTATACCAATGCATGGAAACCATGTAGCACACTGTTAACTACATCAATATTCTGGAAAATGACATTTAGAAAAGTACAGCAGAAATGCTCAATTCTTTCTCACATTAAATTTACAAATACATATAGCTAAATTTAACTTGGTATCCAGATAGTTAAGACTTGTTAAGCTGCCTACTATGTATTCCTCATGACTAAGAAGTGATATAAAATCCTTGAGGACATTCATATTAAATCATTCTAGTATCTAAATATTCAGGATATTTGCTTCTGATGATGATTTTAGAAGTGCAAGAGTAGATTAAACTTTGCTAATTCTACATATTTTTTTAAACCTTCCCAGTTTCATGAGAACTTTGATTTCCTGCTCAAAAATGATATTGACCATAATATCAATAATGTTATCTTTGATGCCCTATACCACTTCTGCTTTTAAAAACTAGTACTAGTAGTAAGATAGTAGTTCACTAGTGCATTTATAGAATATTCAACTGATAATGTTGAAAATAAACTAATATAAATCAAATTTCTATATGAGGAGAGAACAAAGCAGGCTACATTATCAACACATGCTGATTTCCTATCTCACCTGTGGTAGAGATTGTAGCATATGACGAACTTGAGAAGCAGAGAACTCTGAACCAGGCTCCAAGCGGGCTTCGAGATCCACTAGTTGAAGAACTAGTGCTCGAATATGTTCAAGGAGCTGATGATTACTTGTCAGCAACTGATGTGTCCTAGCCTGAAATATCATAACAAGCTTGACATAGAACTTTATACCTCCATTGCTTGACATGAATGCTTCTTGTGGGAGGCATTTATGATATACAAGTCTCAGTATCAATACCAGCTAAATTATACTAACCTGTGCCTCAAGCCTGGCAGCAGTTTCTGCTGCAAGTTGTTCCCTGAGCAAATGGACTTGAGCGACTGCAGCTTGAGTTTGTTGCGCCTGTGCTTCCAGCTGCTCACGGAGTAGTTGAGCTTCATGATGAGCACTCAGAGGCCCTCCACTTTTAATGGGAAGCTCCCCACTTGGAAGAGGTCTTGCTTTTGGGGATGAGTATACTTCACCCATAAGCTGGAAAAAGAATACAATCCAATCAGACCCCTCTAGGATGATAGTTGAATGACGTGATGGATAAAAATAGAAACACCTGTCCATCACAGAATATCTGTAACATTAATAAAATACTTGAAGCAATACATACACTATCCTAAGAAAACCGGCATACATTTCAAGAGGAGATTTTCTTTTGAATATGCAAGCACTCTTCAGGCCAGGTATAAATAAAAGTGCTTTGTTTATAGAGGCAAATGTCATATCACAAGCTCTCCTTTGTGTTCCAAATTATGTAATTAATTGCTTTGTTAAGGTCAGGCATTACTTCAAGCTTATACATGACAGTAATACACTCCAATAGCCCAATGTTACCTTCTTTAGTTATATAAAAAGTAATTTTAAGGAGTCCTGCTTGGCATAAAAGACTTCTGTCTTTTTTTAATTATTAACTATTAGCTGGAATGAAAAGCCAAGAAACTTGCAGCTACAAAGAAATGGGCAACCAACCAGTAATCCTACAACAGAAAATCATGACACTTTCTGAAACAATCTGATTTTGCTCCTGCATTTCATTTAAACAAAGTTGGAATGATTGGAAGTCAACCTTTTGGATAGATATGTTTTCCAAAAAATCTCAGATACAATGATGAAATGTGGCAAAATGACAAGATATGGAGCTACTGATGAAAAATAAAGAGTTCCATTTAAAATTGTCCTTTGGTTAATTGAAAATCAATGGTAAAATCAGTTATCTGATAAGCTTGCTGCTCCAAATTATTAGAAGTCACACAATGAAATTCAGTTTAGATGCAGCTTTAGGACTGAGCATGTGTAAAGACAAAGATTGTTTGAAATGTTAAATGATCAAGCTACAGGGAACATTATAGTTAGTATGAAAAGTTATACATGCAGAACAGGGTTGAGTAGCAGATGGCTGGATGGAGCTTGCCTTCTTGCAATTAATCAAACATTGTCCATGTGTTAAGATTTTGTGGGCTGCTTCACTCTCCTCTCTGATGATTATGATTTGATTTGTAAGTCATTCAGCTAATGAAAAAACTCAGAGATAGTTCACTTTGTCAGAAAGCTAGTGCTCCAAACCTCAGTTCTTTCTTAAATGGTTTCGTTTTATTTTCTTTTTTAAATGGTTCACTACTACAGAGCAGTTTTTCATCTCTCCATTTCTGGTTTCAACAGAAAAAAAAAACATGGGTTCATCAGGAAATTCTTAGAAGAGCAGCATGCCAGGACATGAAGACCCTGAATAAACTTACTAAAGACACTGATGGATGAAAGTTCAAAACCAGATGCCTCTTCCAGTTAATGCAACAGCTGGCTCCAGTTTAAGATTCAAAATATCTACTGCTGTATTAATCTTTTGGGACCCACACCCTAGTTATCTTGTGTTGGCCTCATAATGAAAGATAGAAAAAACTTGGATGACAGTGTATTCAAAATACTCAGACCCCAAAGGGTTAAGTACTGCAGAACTTTTGTAATAATAAGAACAAAATATTGGTTTTATCTATTATCTCTCATAGATGAAGAGAGCATTTACCAACATGGGGTTTGGTATTATCCTCATGGAATCTCACAATGCAGCACAAAATATATAGCATTCTGAACAAAAACAAGGTACTATATGGGTTTCTTGAATGGATTTGACCCCTTCCTTTCTTTCTCATTGCTCAAAATTCCATGCCACAATCACAGTGAACAACATTTCACTGGAAAGCTCCCTGCCATCTTTGATTCAGCCAAAAATACACAACTCTGTAAGGGTCTTGACTGGGTGATGAAAGAAAGATGAATGGGACCTACTGCTTCTCAATTGCTCACTTTTTTTTTGGAGTGATGTATTATGCCTTGTCACAATGATTCTTGAAATGGGTTCAAAATCTCATTCTGCCCCTCCTTTCAAAGGCTTAAATGCTCTATGGCACTGCTCTTTCTACATTCTTGGCAGTAGCCTTGCTTGCATCTGTCAACTATCATTGGATGATTTAATTATTTAGAACTAACGTGTGGCATTTTCTTCAGTCAATCCATCAGGAAAACTTAAACAAACAGCTCTGAATGACCGAGTTCAAAACTGCAAATGTTACTATATCACATGATGCTCACCAGAGACTTCTGGTCAGAAGATGGCGGTGGAGGGAGAGGCTCCAAGTCAATGATGGTATGGCTTTCCAGACTCCTGACCCCTTTTTCAGAAGTTTTCTTCTCCTCATCTTTCTGCTCTGAGCCACCTCCTTCAGAGTCGGCTGCAAGAAAATGTTGATCACTTGCCAAGCAACCTTTTTCAAAGACAGAATATTTTTCCTTCCACACTACAATTCATCACTTATGGCAACACCCACGCACAGAGGGACTTGGCTCAATCTGCTTGACACAAGAAACTGCAGCATGTGCGTCCGATCCCTTGACACTCTGCTTGGGAGCAGGGCCAAACCATAACAAGTTGGAAAAGGAACTTATACTTTGTTGGTGGTGTGGAGAAATGAACACTTGAAAGATTGAGGCTTTGTCTGAAGCACTGCATGACATATGAGAAGGAGGGAAAGTATTTTCTCAGGTGAGAGAACATGGAGGCTGCAGAGAGGGAATGAGGGATGGAGACAGAATGGCAGCACATTGACAGCTGAGAGGTGGGTTGGAGAGTTCCCAAGCAGAAGAATAGACCAAAATAAAGCTGCTAAACATATCTTGCAAAGATGGGGCAAGCAAGGGAGATGAGATGAGAACAGGTGCCAGTCCTGTGAATATATAATTTCAGGGGGCTGTCTAGGTCAGAGGGTAAAAAAAAAAAACTCTTTCAATTGTGACAATGATGTATATCTATATATACTTCAAGCTGGCAGAGTATATGCAGTCAGGCAAGACATAGAATATGTCTGCTAATTGAACGAGGATGGCACTTCTTGGCAGACAGATGGATTTCTAACTCCTTTGCCAAATTCATGCATGACAGGAAATGATTTGAAGAATTTTGATGGGTCTCATCCCTTCTTGCTAGTGACACTGGTACTAAAAGCTGACTTACTGCCTTCATGCATCAATTATCCCCAAACACAGCCAAGAGATGCCTTCAGTGAAGGATGGGTATTAGGTTCACAAGAATCCCTTCCCTTCTTCTGGAGAACACTATGTCATTTGGATAAATGTTGGTCACTTAGGATAATGAGAGAGGTATTACAGCACCTAAGAATAAGTATTTCAATGAAGAGACAGGTAACTGGTGCAGCAGAAAGGAACTGGGCATGGAGTAGCATCTACATCAAGGAGCATGCATACCTTTGAGATGGCTTTGTCTAACTGGTAAGTTTCACTAACTCAATGTTGAAAGAATTATTATTTTATGCTGATTTTCAACCAATATAACAATCATAACCAAATTGAAACAATGGGTTCCCAGAAGAAAACAGGTACCCATTTCCTTATAGATTCTAATGAAGCATTTAGGTGGTAACATTAGTCACTAGCAGTAACTCTATATAAAGTGAAGATCAGATGATACAAAAATCCCACCAAGACATAATAATAATCTTGGGATTACTTCATTTTGTGAATGGTCCATATCACATACCAGAATCCATTCTGCAACTATAGTTGGAAGGGTGCAATTTTTTTTTAGTCAATCACAGGGTAAACCAAGGCCTTCAATTTCAGTTGTAACAAGCACTACACATCGCATTTTGTAGTTACTATAAGACTCAAGGCTCGGAAATCAGGGACCTTTCTTGTTTTTTTCATAACTTTATTTATGGCAATAAGATTTCTAAAAAAATATACTACATGATTCGAATGAGTACCCATCACTCCGATTTGAGGAAACTATAGCAGAAACTTCCTGCTTTAAGATTTTCATCGTGCCACGTCACAGCTAGAGGCAAGTGTTCTACATAACTAGAGGTACATTTTTTTATATTCAGATGGCAATTAAGCTGCATGAGTGAGGATTTCCAACGGGAAGTCACAAGTAATTAATAATAAATCGATTCTTACAAGAGCAATTTGAATTTCAAGAACCACCACTTAAGACTCTGGAAAAGAGGACATAGAATTCTACTGACCACACACAATATGTGCAGGCAAAGCAGATCCCAAGCAAGCATTTATGCTTAGGATGGCAGGAGAAATGCCTGAATCCTACAAGAGCATGCCCCTCAAGAGTTGAGACAACTAGCTAAACTGAAAACTGACCAAAAGCATTAGCAAAGCCTCGTTTGTTTCAGGGAATGAATTTAAAAAGATTTTCTGAGTTTGGTTTGAAATTTCAATTAAAAACACTGTAACTACTATGCTTATAACAACTAACCTCTTCGAGTCTTCTCACTTAGAGGTTCACTTCCTTCCTCGCTGGCTGCATCTCCATCATCACCTGGCTGAGTTTGAACGGACATCTTATGACATACCTCGAAGGCTTGTCCGATCGTCCTCACTATCCTCATAGCTTGAGTCTGTGGGAACATAAAACCATAAACCAAAGTCTTAAAATCGCAGAACCCTTTGCAAATGCTCCTCAAACAGAGGATCGTAAAACAGAAGCAGACATCTATGCATACAAATGAGACTGAAACTTTATTCCGGGGAGAATGCATATGTCGTTGAAGCATGACATTTAACTGATGGCATAATAAGACTCATCATAGGCTGTTTCATCTAAACGACATCGATAATACAAGTAACGAAACGAGGTAAATTTAATCTACATTAATAAATACTTTCATCCTGCCAGTTTTTATAAATGCCGAAGCTGAAGCCAACAAAAGTCCCAGAGAAAGTAACAGGACTTATGAAGAAATTTGTTTTTCCGTTGATGCAGGCAGAACCCGAACTGGCAAATCTTCAACTATTCCTCCTTCTCCCTTCGTTTTTCCCCCCTTAATGTCATGGAATGAGGAGGTGAATTAGAATTTAAATCCCCATCTATCGGGATAACTGTCAGGTGACTGCTTCGAGAAATGAATTGCATTCCACCTGGCCAGCAAAAACAAACTAACTAATAAAAAAAAAACAACATTCTAACGTCAACCCCTTGAGATCTATTGCTCTCTTTGGGGTATCAGTGTCGTTGCAGCATCAATAATAGCATGTTCTTTGAGTCTACACAACTCAGCAGGAATCCACGCTGGACGATTTTCCATCCCGTCTACTAGCTATTGGGAATATATTGATGAAATCTCCAAATTCCGTGAAGAAAAAATACAAAAAAGCACACTTGATGTATATATTTTAAAATCTATTAAGCGAATGTGCCACGACATTGACCAGAACCTAGCCATACATAGGGTAATAACCAATCCCGTATTTCATGGGACACTCCCAAAGAAACCAGAATGAACGAAAGTTGGCAGCCCTAGGCATACATTAAGGGCAATGAATGGATAATGGGGAAATGTACATATATTCCGAGTCGAGAGACCGTCTCGTTGAGACTTGTGAGGATCAGGGGCGTGGGTCCTCAGATAATGCTGCATGAATCTTGCAGCAACTGGATTCTTACCAGATATGACTCCCCTGGCTTTCTTTGACCACTAAGGAAGGAAATGCTATCCATTTGTTGACTCTTCAATCAATCAAGTGAATTCAGAGCTCGGATTACTGATAATGGATGATCTTGCCCAGCTAGCAATAGAGAGAGAGAGAGCGAGCTCTTACGACTTTCTGGCATGGCCGAAGGAAAACAGAGCTTGAAAGCTAATGCAATTTGCATAATAATCATCTGGAATATTAATGAGTATATTTGAACGGGACTGATCCAGTGAGGGTGATATGGTTCAAGAGAACGAATGATGGATGAGGTTAAGCTAGAATTGGACACAAATGAGGTTTCCGGCATCTTGAAGATGAGGAAGGCTAACCAAGCTTGCGGCTCTTCACACGGTTCTCCCACGGCCATTATCTCCCTGGAAGATCCTCAAAGGAGATCCCTTCCGATATCCCCATCGATCCTATTACCCGCCTTCGAGATCCTAATGCCATACGATCCCGATGCAATCCTCGGAAGCTCCATTCGGCTTAGAGGGTGCTCATGAGAAGACGCTCCTCCCTCCACTCAACAGATATTAGACCCCACCCATCAATGTCAGCTTACGGAACAGGGCGAAGCCATGATGATATGGGGAGAGTTCAACTGCTTTTGGTAAACCTCGGGTCAAGGCCAACGCATCTATTGGACACGTTATTGTAGAATTAAACTGATCCACAATATGAATTGTAAAAAAATCAGATATATTAATATTGCTTCTTGATTGGCCGTAATAGCGCAAGACATACGAACTCATCTCATCCCCAGATGCCATGTACAAACACTGCACGCTAGCACGAACTCCAAAACGAATGTACACGTGTATATCTGGAATCTTCGGAGGAATCTTCGGAGGAATCTTTGATATGATCAATAGTTGCGCTCGGCGGCTTAACTAACTGTATCGTCGGCAAGGTTTACGATTAAGTCAAGCACAATCGAGAGTCCTCCAGAATCATTTTCGAACGATAGAGGTGGAAATAAAAATCAACCTCGAGTTCCAAGTCTTCCAAGCTAGAGGAAATCCTTTCCGGGGGTTCGAAGGGCTGCAGGAAGCGGCGCCTGGAGGACATCCGCCGGGGGAAAGTACTTGATGATGCCTGCCCTTCCCTGCTCACTTCAGGCTCTTTAAAAGATAGTTTCTTGGATGGAACAGGCGGTCGATTCATGGTTAGTTCAACATTCGCGGGATCTTCAACACTTCTCCATCAGACACGCTCAACTTCAGGAGCACTGAAAGGCCTTACTGCCAAGAACTTCTCTCACGATTCACGTTCAGGAAGCACAAACACATCAGCACCGCCAGCTCGGCCTAGCAGGTAAGAATGTATCACTTACATATGCCCGCCGCTTCTTCTTCCTCTTCTTCCCCGATCTATTTATGACTCAGTAAGTTTCGGGTACACGTGCTTTCATTACTCTCTATGACGTCACACCTATTTCTCCCACACCTCTGTCTACGCATGCACTCTGACGGTACCTTCATTTCCCTTCTGGCTCGGTGGTACCAGCGCCAAAGCCAGAGAACCAACAGGCGGCTGGAATCGTATGGAGGTGACTAGCGTTCTTGTGAATTTGCCAAACCTCCTCCTCCCTCGTTCCTACGCTCCCTCTCCCCCTCGTTTTTCCACAATTCACATCCTCCCGCGACTCGCAGCCAGGATTTAGCGTACTGAATGGAATGACCATTTCAATCCGCACTGGCAACCTTTCGTAACTCTCATCAATTAGATTAATGGGAGCTACTGGGCTCATTTAAGCGTGAAACGAGCCTGGCCTTTCTCATTACAGCCTATTTTCGTGGCAAACCGCCAATGCCAGTGAAGGAAAGTATGATGGGCACTGGAAATCCTCCCTTTACTCTGGGTGACTGTGAAAGTGAAAAGCAGGCACCAGTGGTTCATTCCCTGTCTGTCAGTCAGTACTGGAATTGCGATGCACCTTGCCAACTCATTCTCACCTTCGTGGAATGACTTGATCGCTCAAGGTGAAGGATAGGGTCGGGTGCCATTACATCAACGCGAAAAGGGCCATTTTTAACCTAGTGATGAGGTGGCTACGACCTTGCTCCTCGAAGAAACAGTGACGATGTTTCCACAACATGGATGCCATTTGGCTGTCATAACCATCAGCAGACGTGAGGAATCCACGACCCTCAAGTTATTTTTCAAACGTTTGCCATTTGGACCAGGTCAAGGGAAGAGACAGCGCGAGACCTTCGTCTGTCATCCCTCAAGTTTTTTTTAATACTAAGTTTAGACAACGAGCTCCAAATCGTCATTAGAGATGAATGCATTTACAGAAACCTCAACGACGTATCTCTTACGCATGGTTATTGGTAACTGCATTTATCCAGTTGACAATGTCGTACCTCGCTTCATCAGTATACCATGAAAACTTTCCGAGATCATCAACGTCTTTGTGATTGTGGAGAAATGTGCAGAGACAAGGTACGAGTGAGCGCGAGTGACAAAATCCCAAGACAAACAGGAAGTTTCACGTATCCAGAACGAGATTAAGTTGTCCACAATCGATTGAGGCTCAATAGTAGGATCATCGAAAACGTATGAAGTGAGGTAAAAGATGATGCCTTTCATCGAAACCGCTCTATGGGATAGCCGACAGATGACGTTCATCATTCGCTGGTCTCTCACCTTTTTGTTGGATTTGAAGACGTTGCACTTGAACACATTGCTGGATCCATCTCTGGCAATATAGCTGAAGATTTTCAGATCTTGTGAATCGTGGGAAACGTAGAATATCCTGTAAATAAAAAGATCGTCAGTGAGAAAAGCCATGTGCACACAGTCCGATCGATCGATCGTGGGTGCATCTAGAAAACGAGAGAAGCGACTCATAGGAGCCAGTCATGAATCCATCAGTTCATCCATCGTTAATAACTGCAATGTTTGATCAAACAGTCTCCCTTCCTTTCCCTCTAGCTTCGAAAAAGGGAGGATAATTTGAGAGGGGGGAAAAGGTCGTGCCCGGCAGTATGTCTGGTCGATGCTCACCCCTCTTTTCCTGTTCAGAGCTTATGCAGAAACATCTGTGCAAACACGAAAACGGCAGGCCCCCCCCCCCCTCGATTCCTAAACATTACACATATCTGTTCCCGCTTCTCCCAAGGTGGAGGGAATATGAGAAGACGGCATCATGCTGCTTCATGAGGGATTAAAGGAGCGCAAAAAAAAGCTAGCATCCACACATTCTCGATTTCCACTCGCCCAATTTCTCTTCCGACGGCTAAAACGCAAGGCAATAAAAAACACGAGGCCAATTTTGGACCCCGGGAGAAAGAGACGGCCACAAAAGATCCCGTTTTCTTCGGAAGAGGAAATGGGGTGAGATCGTGCGGGAGAATGGAAATGGACGATCAACAGAGACGCCCTCAGCCCATCGAGTCCGAGTCGGTGGGATGCCAACGATAGGAGACTATTGTGTGTTTTCAGCATAGATCGCCTTCCCTGACCAAGCAGCATTCGCTGGAGTATTGGCATTGGCTATGCTTCGGCAGATAAGAGGAGAATTATTGCTCTCCCTGAGTCTTATGAGCAGACTCCCATTACCAGAATACGCAACTCGCAGCTGTATTGCGGAACAGCTGCAACGTCTGTGATGAGCTGTGATAACCTACTGCTCCTATCGTATCCAGCACATCTGAATGCATACACTCCTGTTTCGGAGAGTAATTTTTCAGCTCACCTGTGTATGGGATGGTGCATCAATAGCAATCTCCCGTCTTCTATCCACTGGTTTTTCTGTCGAAAGCAAAAAATTCATGCAGGAGTCAATAAAAAGGAATACAACGATAGATTCAGGGCAGCAGCGCCACTATTCTAAAACTGTGCTTTCATAGTAGGCCTCTATGGGAAGCGGTTTATTTGAGTTAATCTCATCCCAATGGACGCCCATTATGAAGCCAGATCAGTTCAATGAATTAGGTGTTTAATGAATTAGTCGTATATCAAAGAAATCAGATCTGTTCAAATTGCGATAGGTGCTCTTCACCAACAGGTCATCCCAGTTACCCAAGCTTTCATGACATTCTCTTGCATGCTGCTCAGGAAATGAGAAAATTTCCTGAAATAAGCTACGTTTTGAAATGTTAGCAGGGTAATCAACAATAAGTCATTCGTAGTAAGCAGTACGTGAATCTCATCAAGCATGAGTCCCCCGAGACAACAATGAAAGGAGCGCCAGACAAAGTTCTCCACCCACTCGCTGTCATTCATAGCGATCCACCTAATTGCCTTGGAAAGATTCCACCGTTATGGATGGAAGATTCCCAAAGGAATTCCTCCTGCTGGCTATCCAACTTATTTTCTGCGGATTCCCTACCCAATAAAACAAGATATATAATGCCAGAGTGAGACAATTGCACCAGAAACCCGTGATACCGACCCTATCGAAAATATTAAGAGACGTGGCAGAGAAACTTTGATAAACCTTACCGACACTTTTTTTTTTAACCAAGTCAGTGTAAATTTCCTGCAGCAAGGGCACAGAAATATTTTGGAAGATAGATTGATGGTAGGACTTCATTGCAGACAGGAGCGTCCCTTTAAGTCATCCCTCAGTGGGAAAATTCATGTGAATGTGTAATACGTGTTAACTTCATAGAGCATGTTTCCGGGAATCCCAGAACAAGGCAGAAACAAGAAAAGAGGATGAGGAAACTAAGAGAGGAGAGAAAAATCTAGGGTACTTCCGCACCTCCCGTTGCTTGCTGACCATGGAAAGAAAAGAGCTGCTCACGGATTTCCGGACTCATCTATCCCCCTGTGAAGGGCCGAGAAAAGAATGATCTGTTCCTTCGTGCTCTTGCCCTCCACCCTCTCTTACTTCTTTGAGCCCACCCATACGTGGGTGGGGGAAAGATCCTGCGACTGCTTACAAGAGAAGGATCCACTCTGGGATACTTCACTCATCATCATCGATTTGTTTGTAAGACTGCCAATTACAGAAACGGAAGCGGAACGTTTACCGATGGGTCTGGCTCCTTCTCTGTCGGAGAAATTATATCTGGAACTTCAATTCCACGAAGTCTGAAACTGAAGGAAAATATGCTATGGCGGTTCTGCTTCCTCTAATGGGAAAGTTTCAAAATGGTTGTGCGCAGAAAGTTCTATTTGAACTCTGAAATGTAAATACCCTGCAAAGCAACACGGTAAAAGCCTAAGCCGGAAAACAAGCAACCAAGGAACAAGAAGTGCTCACCTTTTTCTTCTTCTTCAGGGCGACCTGCACCCCTTCGACAGAGACATCTATGTTGACTTTCTTCTTCTTCACACCTCTGGCTTTGAATTCATACTGCAATCACAATGGGATAACATGCAAATATAAGCATATCTGGTTTCAACTCAGAAAGTCTCATAATTCTCTATAAAAAAAAAACTCGTTTCAAAGGTGCACCATGAAATTTCAAGGTGAGATATTTCACTTTGAAAAATGGGGTTTCAGCCATCGCCTTAATAGAATTAAAGCATTCCATTGCCAAAGAGTGATAACTTTTTTTTTGCATTTCTCCATGAAGGAAAGCAGCCCCGGTTGGCCAAACAGCTGGAAAAAGGAAAGTGAAGGTTTCGTTCCGAATACACGTATCAGAGGCATGGAAGGATTTCTGCGACCTGAAAGGAGTGAAATGGGTACTTTATCATTTCGTTACTCTTGAAACATGACAAACACAGACGCACGACGGAGAAGAGGGGAGAGAAGCGGTTCCCTCTCCCTTTCATCTCAAAACCATGCGGTAAAATGACAATGAATGAAAGCGAAAGAAAAAGTTTCGGGGCCATAGATGGAACTGTCTCTTTCTATGCTCCCCTCTCATAATGGAGCCGTTTCGGGCCTCGCATCATCCTTCGGGAAGTTCTTTTCTCCATCTTATGAATGATTCATGAGCATCTGAAGATCTGCGAGGGTGACTTCTGGTCCTGAAGGCCCCAAAATGTAGACAACTATTTTCTCCAGGAAAGAGAGAGAGAGAGAGAAAAGAAAAAAAAAACGAGAAAGGAAGGGGGAACTCTGCCGCAGAGATTGAAATTCCATTCATAGTATTGTTCTCTCTCTCTCTCTCTCTCTCTCTCCCACTCTTCCTCTCTACTCCCATCTTCTATTCCTTTTCCGATTCTTCATTTCGCTGAGCGGAGGAAGAGGACACGAACTCGTGTTTGCTCTCCGATCTGAAGTCACCCACTCCGAAGAGATTTGGAGCCTCAACAAGGGCCCCTTTAATTTCCTTTTGCATATGGCGAAGGATGAGTTCAACATGCCAGTCGGTTTATTACGACGGGAGAGAGACCATGTATCTTCCCTTATCTGCACCCGGAGATGGAGTTCAATAATGAAACGGAGCCTTTGATGAAGAGAAGGGAGGAAATATTTGGCTCCACTTTTCTGCTACGACGGCGCCCAGAAAAAGCCGTAGTCCATCTCGGCCCCAAGATTTGGCATTTCGTGGATTGCAACTGGTGATTATGGCCGCGCAACCCGACCTTCACAGCAAACGGAACTGATGGCAGATGCGGGTATAGCGTGGTTACGTGGCCGTGGATTCCCAATTACGTCATTTCCAAGCTGCAATTGATATCTAGCGTTGCGAATGTTCAGACAGTCGTGTCCTGGACTCGAACCGAATCACAGAGAACTTCGGCTTAAGCTGCGATTTGCAACTGATATTTTGCAGAAACAGCAAAGATTTCGTAAGCTTAGGAGAGAGGATGGAAAGGATTTCGGGACGGAGAAAGAGGATTTCCATTGAGTAGAGGATCACTTCTATGCCTTCTGGAACCGAAGGGGCAAGGATCCTTTTTAGGAGCCGCATTTACGAAGTAGACACACTTTTAACAATTGTCCGACTCGGAATCGGAAAGTTGCGATTGCAAGTTGTTCCTAATATAAAAACCTAAATTTAAAATTTTTAATTACTCAAATCCGAGATTCTCAAGGTTATACAGAGTGGGGCAAAAGTTACTATACAGTTATTGCATGCTGAAAATAGCTGTTTTGCTAATTTGGTCCTCATTGTTTCAGAGTAATACTGCTGGGTGAAGCTGGTAGCTTTTGAAATTACATAGCACGCTCATTTTTCTGTGTAATTTGTGTTTTGTTGTAAACAACGGTCAGTATGGCGTTAAAACTTAAACTATTTTCTATATGCAACAACTGCATAGTGACATTTGCCCCACTCTGTATATACAGGGTGCTCCCCCCCACCCACCCCAAAAAAAGCGTCCTGTTTGACGCCTTATAAAACCCGCTGTGGATGACCTAGGTTCTTGATGTTCTCTTATAACGCTGGAAACATCACAACATTTGTTTTATGAAAGTTTCATATACCTAGGGTGTCTGAATAAAAATTGACAGTCGTTCAAATTGGAGCAATAAATTTACCTCTTCCGTGCATGAGGTGGATGGATTGTCAGCACTACTCGAACGATTCCGTTCCCTTGACACCATGAAGGTATATTTTTATGCCAGTTCTCATCGTAGTATTCTGCGTAGTAATGATTCTGACGCTACGATGTACAACAATAGTACTATTCTACGACGTGTCGAATTCTATGACAAGAACATGGGGTGAAAAACAGTCTTTTTGGCGTCAAGTGAGAGAAATCATTCAAGCAATGCTGAAACTTCATCCACCTCATGCACGGAAAAGGTACAATTTTGACTCCACTTTGAACGACTGTCGATTTTTATTCAGACAACCTAGGTTCATGAAACTTTCAGGATGCAAATTTTATTTTTTCCAACGTGATACGAAAACATCACGAACCTTCCACAGCGGGTTTTATAAAGCGTCAAACAGGACTTTTTTTTTGGGCCACCCGGTATATACATGGTGATTATAAACTACATTTTTCAGGCAAGATATTAATGGAATGCATTGACATAGAATGATAGCACCACACATGGTTGGTACAGGGGTGTCGCCGGAGTGATCACACACGTTCATTATGCGAACCAACGGTTTCCAAAATGCTTCTTATACGTGTGATGACGGTCATGACGACAGCCAAACGCATCTCGTCCGGTATGGTTGCCACTTTCCCCACAATTGCATCCTTCAGCTCCAGAAGTGTCTGAGGGTTACCTCGGTACACGCGTCATATCAGGTATCCCCATAACCAGAAATCTGCAGGAACACTTTAGGAGGATCATTTCACCCACTTTCTGCATGAATGATCTCCCCGTTCGCCAGACCTGACCTCGGCAGATTTCTGGCTATTGGGGTACCTGATATGACGCGTGTACCAATCCGGAGCTGAAGGACACAATTGTACGGGAAGTGGCAACCATTGGCTGCCGTCATGGCCATCATCACACATATGAGAGGCATTCTGGAAACCTGTGGTACCCATATTGAACATGTGTGATCACTCCGGCGACATCCCTGGACAACATGTAACGCATTTGATTTCCCCTGGTCCCTGTACCAACCATGCGCGGTGCCACCAATCGATGTCAATGCAGTTCAGAAATATTGTGTCTGAAAAGTGTAAAGTTTTTTCATAATCACCCTGCATATCAACGGCCCCTAGATAGCGCTGGGCTGCGAATTCATAAGTCTTAGCTCCAGCAAGATAACATACTTTATTTTCCTTATATACTTTTACTGCATGGCACTGAAGAGCTGGGTGGGGAAAAAAATACTGCGGAACCTGCAGGTATCTGGCCTACAGGGACAGTTGTAGTCAACTATTTGACTGAAATTGGTTATCTTTGCTCCCATATAACTTCTAGCTACATAAAAATGGGCTTGGTACCAAATGAAAGGAGAACACTTATAGTAATATTACTACGATATCTACGATATCTATTTGCGACCAGAAGTCTAAGGAACTTCTAAAAAAAAAAAAAGTCAAACGTTGGCCATGTCTGCCTTGAACCAGGTCACGGCTACATCCAGATAAAAATATGAACTTGGTCTTTCTTTGTTGAAAGGATTGCCCTTCCTCTTCAACGCAGTGAAAGAACTTTCATGGTATCTTGAAAATTGAAATTTTTATTGAATTCTTTCTAACTGGTAGGATAGGTGATCATGGGATGAAGTTTATTTTATGGATATTTGCTCATGGATGTTACATAAAATCCATTACATCAACGTTGTAAATCCCAACGAGTACTCACTCGAGTCCACTTGTGACGCTAATCTCATGGGGGAAAGAAATGAAGTGGCCAGTTTTGGAAGAAGAAAAAGAATATAAGCAGTGGGTCCTATTAGGATATGCCATGATAAAACTTAGAGAAGAACATATCCACCACCACCCATCCACTTTGGTAAGGCTTCAAAAAAAGCCTATTTGACCTGTTTTTTTGCAAGATGTCTAAGGTTGGATGACTGCTCCCAGACAATGCGATATTTGTATAAGCCAACGCTAGGTCTGTCATTTGGATTCACTCAAGGGTAATTATTTGAACGATAAGACTGGTTGTCAAAATAAGGATAGGTCTACCTCTACTAGCTATATACCTCTTAATCTGTGCATTCCCTAGGCTTGGTCTCAAAAGCCTGTACTTCCCAGCCATCATGGCCTCATAAATCAAAACAAATCTTAGACTACAGCTGTTTTTGTAGCGACAACTTCACATGGATGAGAGACATGAGATGTGCTATTTATAAATCTGCACGTTTCTCCCATGAGATTAATATCACACATGAATCGGGTGCCCACCTGCTCATATCCATAAAGCCATGTTTTCCTTCACAGCCCCACTTTGGAATGGTGGAACACGACAGAACATTTATTTTTTACGAAACTTTGTACTGGTTGCCAACCACATAGTATCAACCATACCAACATTTTACTTCGAACCAAACTTTTAGAACTTGAAATCTGCAAATTCGATATTATGCTTTTTTTTCGTAGGGATTGTAACAAAGAAAATAACAATGAAAGAAAAATTTCCTAAGATGGCCTTGATCATGGTCATGGGTGATCAAAAAATGTTATTTTCTAGATCTTGCCGTTGAGAACATTCCTGTTGAGGAACAAATTGTAATAGCACCTTTTCGATTCTGAGTAGGTTGACTTTCGCCGAACCCCGAAAACGCTTTCACTTTGCAAAAAAAAGCTCTTAAGAAGAAATTCCAGACCATGGAAGCGAAATGGAGCTTACCCGAATTCGTCTCATTGCCGAAACTATCTCCACTCTGCTTGTCGGCCTCGGAACATCCAGTGTTCCAATATACTGGAAAGAAAACAGGGATAAGATGAATGCATGCTCATCCAGTTTCTAACACGGTCAATGTCACTTGTAAGATGAAACATGACCAGCATTGGTTTTATTTTATTATTGATGCTTTTGATCTAGTTTCAGATCAAGTGTCCCTGACGTAAGTCATCAACTCAAGGAAGCACTGATTCTATTCCTCTTGATGTTGATCACATTCTCGATTTGTATTGAAGGGAGAGTCAAGATTGATTTGATTTGATCAGTTCAGCCTCGTCAGTCATCATTTTCTCCCTACACGAAGCTGTCACTGACGAAAAAAAGACGAGTTTCACGGAGCTACATTCCTGTTCCCTTCTTTCGTGTCACGATCCCATCAGCGATAATAACTTCAATCACGCAGAGAGTAGACAAGGAGCGTAACGTTTTCGCAAGGAGATTTTTTTTCTGTTTTGGAGGAACTGGAACGAACATGAGCATTGCCGTCTATACCAACGCACGAAAGGAAAATACAAGACAGCGAGGGACTCTTGGGAATTCTGTACATTTTCCCAGTCATTCCTGTCGCCAGTAATTCGCCCCGGTCTCCCCCGGGCCCGGTGTTAAGACGGCAAATAGAAACTTTCAGCTGCTCAGGTTTCCATAGCCAATGCACCTTGGACCGGAGAAAGCTTGATTCAAATCAACTGACCTCGTTTTAGAGTGCTGTGCATGGGTTGATTCCACACCCTAATCATTATCAACCAATGAGATTCTAGCTGTGATTTAATTGTTAGTTTATCGCGCTTGGTGGATCTCATCCCAGATTTCTCCACTAATCTCACACACCCTCTCCCTTAAAAGGGAAGATGTGCACGAAAATGGCCTCACAAAGAACCCAAAAGGATTGTGGGAATCGAATTTGCTGCCTGGGAAACGAACATAATCCCATCAGGCCAAGACAAAAAAAATAAACGGCCCAAGAGGAAGCCAACCGAAACGGCGGGGGGATTGTATCTTTTATTCATAGTGCTGGGGACCGGAAGAGAAAAGATGTTGAGGAGCTCTCATGGCTCCATTCTGTTTCATCTCCAGGGCACCCGAGCACCGCTGGAAATTGCATCGGGGGCAGAATCAGCAGAGGAGAAATCCTGAGTCAGGGGAGCCTCGTCCCTGCTCTTTTTTCTTTCATGTTATGGGCCTTTCCCACGACAGCAATCTCTTCATCTGCGGAGAATCGGAGAAGAAACGTGATCCGCGAATGAAGTCACTCATTCATCCCTCCCTCTCTCTCCTAGAACGGGAGGATGTCGACATTGACGACGGAATCCCAAAAGCCCCACTTTCATGGAATGCTTTTCCATCGCCTGCATCCCTCGGGATGGGCGGACGGCTGATAGAAGTGCGGACGATAAGCTTCACGTGACATCAGCATGCAAGACACACGACTCCCTTGGGGAAACAGACGGGAGACATCTATCGCGCCAGTTTCCCCCAATGGATGCAGACACGAAACAAGCGTTGCATACTAAAGAAAATAAATCTCTGCTCAATGATGCAGAAAATGTGTGAAGTGCCGGTACTAAAATCCTCTTATTTGACAGCCTCCGACAGCTTCGTATTGGAATGCTCTATGGGCCTTCTATGGCGTCATTTCTGAAGACGTCAGGTCTGGTTGAAAGACGAAACCTTGGCAGCGTTATGGAGGCCAAATAGGATGCCAAGCAACAGAGATTAACTCCATATGCCTTAGGAGAAGTCCCAGAGGATGGGGACACAAAAAGAAGACACGTGCATTAAATGAAGACATAGTTCACATTTTTGTCCTTCCCTCTGACGAGTTGAAATGTATCGCGAAACTTGGCCTGGAACAGTGCTGAATCAAATTAAGCTTATAAGCGTATACTTTGCATACTTGGCCAACTTGTGACTTTGAAACGAATCAACCACAAAACATAACCACAACCAGTGTCCTGGATAATATATTATCATAAACAAAGGAAACCACTGAAAAATTGCATCGCCTATGTTGAGGGACAAAACCTCCAACATATTTCAAAAACTCCATACGCAGTAGCAAACGCATCTCAAATTCATTGAAATCCCAATTACAGATCGCAATTACATCTCTCTAACAGCAAAAGGCAACAAACTCTGAAGATTATACTGGAAATTTCGCAAGCAACGCGTCTCCTTAATCGTTAAGGAATTCGCAGCTATAATTTTTGGAGAATTATTGACACAGCAAGGGTAGGCCAAAAGTGCTGTTATCTGTGGTCCCTAAAATTTCGAATAGTTTACAAAGTCCGAGTCCTTCAGTGCCTATATGCATGACATTATTTAGCCGGTAAACAATATGAATCCAATTCATTTCTGTTAAATCGACATAGATCAACAGAGAATAGTGTCACAAAAATAAAACTTAGCCAAAAATCCAGGTGTTGCAAGACCAGGAACTGTGTCAAAACTATGTTTCAATTTACTGCTTTTAAACATCACTTTGCCAGATCCTCAACTCAATTTAGCAGGCAAGACGAGAATGAGCGCCCAACTCCATTTCAGTTAAAGTTTTTGCACATCAAGTAACTCGTCGTTAGCTTTGTGGGCTTTTCCCACTCGGGCTGTACAACAAAAACGGGGAAAATACTATATATCAAATTTTACGATGGAAATCAGGTTGACATTTTTTACGCACCATTTGACCCAAAAGCAAACTTTTTTATGTCAAGGTTAAATAAAGAAACCCTGTGATTCCAAGGGTGACGGGGCCACCCTCCTCTTTCCTCCTTGACCTTGAAAGTCAGATATCTGACATGTAAAACCGGTATATTGAAACTTAGCTATGCTATCCATCTCATGGCTGTTAACAGGAAATGAAACTCGGAAGATCGGTAGGTGAGAGCAGGGATTGAAAATGGCGTCAAATTCAATTCTTCTCTGAACCGATAAACAGAAGGTTAAAACTATCTCAAGTGGTGAGGAAAGGGAGAGAAACGAGACGGAAAACCCAGACAAAATTGTTTATCGGCTATTGGGTCACTCACACTACTCAAAAGTAATGGACAAGACACGTCCTGAAAATCTTATCTGCAACAGATCCTTCCGTGAAATATATCATTCTTAAAAAGCAAAACAATGGCAGGGCAGCAATACACAACCAGGTCTCGTCCTCGGTGCTCCCGATTA